GTCAGTCCCTGGCATCTTCTGATATCAACCCCTGAGTTCTGAGGAACATATAAAACTCACAAAACTCAGCAGAAAAGAATTTAGAATAAGCTCAGGATTTCAAAAATATCTAAAGTTTTTTACCTCAAATGGTACATAATCTCTCTGAGGGCCACTGTCTGTTCATGAATACCACAGCATGTGAGCTGCCAGTCTGAGGCAGGTTTGGGTCCCTGTGACAGCTGATGTCACTCTATCTCAGCCTCCCTGACAAGTAAGATATTTTGTATTGCCTTTGTGTCAGCTGCAGAACAAATAAGTAAAACAATGCTGTGCAGAAAACATTTCACTTAAAAAGACACAGAAAATAACTTCTCTGAAGGGCTGATTGCAGTGTTGACAATGTCACAGCTTCTTATTTTCTCTTCAGCCGTTATTGATAACACTTGTGCTGACGTGGCTGTCACATGTGTCTGCCATAATAGTCCAGAAATATTATCAGAGTAGCATTCAAAGGCCAGTTTCCCATCTTAGTGTTTCTTGGCTTGTAAAGAATTGATAAGTCCTTGCCCTGCTAAATATCATTTGGAGAATAATCAGTTTGGGCCCCGACTGACATTGTGTGTCCTGCAATGAGTCAGTAGCTGCTCAGTGGCTTGTCCTCCTGCCCTGAACTAAAGACAAAATCCAGGTTTCCTTCTCAGGAGTTTGCAGAAAAGGTTGTTGCAAAGCAACAGGAGTTTTCTGGGCAGGAAGCTCTATAGGAACATGGCGTGCTTCCAGTGGCAGGAGAGCTGGAAGGAAACCAACCCACTTCTTTTCAGTGGTTTTGGTGAAAATGAAATGTGCACAGCAGGCTATTATTGAGACAGTCAAAAGAGGACTGTCAGAATAAGGACATGTTATGTCTAACAGAAACTCAGGTTAATCTCATCTTCAAGATATGAAATTACATCACAGCCAAACAACAACATTTTTCTTTGGTGGCTTTATTGCCCCAGCTCTGTATGGAATGGCTCTCTGTGAGCTGGAAAGGACTCAGTAAAGTGCACTAGAATCCTGTGGGTGACAACTGCTATATAAACATGTGGGGTTTTTTCCATCTTCTTTCTTTCTTCTTTTTTATCAGTTGCTAAGAAAAACTCTCCAGGGTACGTTTAAAGCACTGTTTTTCAGTTTTGCATAGACAGAATGAGAACTTACAGAGTACTCCCACTACACTCATGAATTTGAGCACATGAATGCATTGCAATTATGCTGTTCACAAATCTCCATCTGAAATCACCACTCCAAAGTGGCCTAAATTTTATAATTTCATAGCATACAAATGTCTGATTAGTTGATTAGGATAAAAAGATTACAAAATTTTTTTTTAAATTTTACAGAACCATATTATGTGTTACAAACAAGACTGAAAAAACCAAAGTGTATACATCTGTAAGAAGTATAAAACACATTCAGAACAAATGGTAATTTGCAACTAATATTAAGGGTGGAAGGCAATAACAACAAATAAGAAATATGTGATATAGTCTAAAATTAGTCTAATTACTGGTTATTGTGCTTGCTTCAAGTATGGATACGGTAAAAATGAAAGAACTGGGAGGTTACAGATCTGGCAAATGAAATCAGGCATAAAAAAATTTGGCACAGATTTGATCCTTATAGTCTAAAGATTCTTGGGAAAATTTGTTTTTTGTGGATTCTGGGCCATATTGTTGATACAGAATCTTGAAAATGAGAGCATGGTACCAGTGTTTAGTACTGAAATATGTGCGAGGGACTTTGGACAATCCTGAATCTTAGACTGTGGATGTCTGGATCAGGGGTGTCATTATGGGTGCACACAAATGGCATAATGTCAGGGTCTGAATTGAACCCCTGGGTGTTACCCCAGCACAGATTACTGCAATAATGATACAACCACATTTATTGCTTATTTCCTGACCTGTTCCTTGCTGTGCCACGACTCCTTTTCCTTCCTCTCTCTTCTTGCTTCACCCCCCACAAAAAAGCCAACCCTGAGCAGAACTGTGTTGCTCTGAGGTTTAGAGGAGGAGATGCTGGGAAGCATAAGGGAAGGAGGAATTCTTCCCTCTCCACCTACCAAAGGAGAAGAAAAGCTATTTGAGAGTTCTTCTGTCTCACATGATAAAGTGAAAAATTGCCAACAGAGTGAATTTCTTTCTGTACTGAACAAAAAGTTTGTCCTATAACAAGGAAGACTACTATTTTTGTTTCTTGGTGTGATGATGACACAAAATCTCCCAGACCATCCCTCTGGGCGGGTGTGTACAGCCACAAGAACTCCCTTCACACGCACATTGCAGAGAGGAGTTGTTACCAATGGCTGAACAAAAGGTCAGCAAGCTGCAAAACTGCTTTTATTACAATGTAGCACATAAACAGAACAACTAGAACGATTCTCTTTTTCCACAAAATCATGTGGCTTCTTTACCCAACAGCATCTTTTGTCCAGGATTAATCCAAATTATACTTAATGACACACGATGTAGTGCGAGTATTTAATCTCAGTTCAAAACCAGCCCTCCACTGGTGATCTTTTCACAACTGCAGGAAGCATCCTGCAGAGAATGCTTTCATCATTTTCAGCCATGTATTCACATGTCTATTTAATTAATTAGGGTTGGCTCCTTCTGAAGTATATTGCTGCTTTATTAATGGTTGTATGCTTAGATCAATGCAAAGAAATGAAAGGGAAAGCAGACAGTGGTTTAGGAGCTGTGAAGCTGAGATAATTTTTTTTCTTAGAAAACCCACTGATCCTGGAGAGATCAACAGATTCTTCCATATTTCTGCTATAATGACATATCTATCACTCTTTCTTTATGACCTCAGAGGCTTTGAAAAAAGTTTTCCTACAGGAGAACATAAAATTTAGCCTCATTTAACATCAGTTTAAAAAAAAAAAAGAGCAGGAAGATATTGGTCTTTTGGTATTACCTCCATAATATCAGAGCAAGATGGTTATAAACCAAGATTAGCAGGAAAATTTTCACCTCTAAAGATTTTGATTATGTCTCCTGAACAGAATCTTGAGGCTGAGAATAGACTGCTATTCATAGAGTGAATGCTACAAACTGCATTAAGCACATATAATTTGAAATACACTGAAATGAGACTGGCTGACTTTTTTTTGGATGCTTTGTCACTTTGGAGGGAAAAGAGTCATATAGGTGAGGGCATTAGCTATCTAAATGCATCTATCATCAATATTTGTGCAAAAAAGATATAGGTGTGCCCAGAGCAGGCAGCAAACTGTTCAGAGACGGCCTGAAAATACAAGAGCCTTGCTTAATTTGGGTTTTACCTTTTCAACTAGTGGTGCAAAATTGGATGACACTTCATAAACGCATCTTACACACTTCACAGCTTTTATGAAAATGGTTTGCTTTATAGTATTTATGCTCTGCAAGTCTGTGAGTTCTCGAGTGCTATGAAAAAACCTCCCCACAACATGCACTTTATGTATGGCTTTAATTATCCCCAGTGAGTGTTACTCTACTGAGGACGTTCTCTGGTGCCTGTTTGCTGTGTAGATTGGAAGTTCCTGGCAGGATCACTGACAATCATTAGTCCTGCTGGAAGAAAACTGCTCTAGTGCTTGGGCTGAGGATCTGAACAAGGCACTCTGTGGCAGTGAGCATTACAGGGCTTAAAATACCACCCAATTCTCAGTGCCTTGACCCACCTGTAATTGCCTATTCCAGAACACACAGATTCCAAACTGTTTTATTACTACTGTTAACACTCCACAGAAGTAGCATTTACTTACCTTTCCCAAGTGAAACAAATGTCTAGAATTGTACCTAGCAAAAAAATCAGGCAAAGAGTGTTCCTCTAAGAGCTTCACCTTTTTGAACTGCCAAAAAATAATAACTGTTAACAGAAAAATTACTCTGATTTGTTTCCACCGCTATTTGTTTTTTTCCAGGCTGCACCAGAGCCACACCAGTGTGCAGTTTTCATACACTGCCATCTGTTGTTACAGGGTGCCTGTGTCACTGCTGTGCTGTGCAGCTTGGGGTTCTGTTCCAGCAGCAAACATCCTTCCCAAGAACTCTGTTAAATTGGAAGAATTCCTTTAATTCATGCATGCAGCGAGATTCCAACAACTCTGCTTTCACTTGGGGCCACAGCCAAAGTAATGTTGCTTTTAATCCCACTTCACTTATTTCAATTGTGAAGTTTGTATCTTTATTTAGTCCAGAGCCAGAGGATTCAGGTTCTGAGTAGTAAACCTACAGCAAAACATACATTCCACAAACGTCACATATATTTACACACACCAAAATTACAAAGGATCCTGTCAGTGCACGAATACATTTACAGACACTGCCCTGCTTATTTAAACAGCTGTTTCAGAATCTGTATGTTTAGCTACAGTTTGCATATATATGGGTTATGGATTTGAGTCCAGGATCTGATGAGTTAGCACCTTGTTCCCTAAATCTGAACTAGAGGAAATAGAACATAATGTTCCAGAAGCTAGCAGGAAGGTAAAATGATTTGTGTGTGATCAAATAAGGGGCAATTGTGTGTTGGGAGAGCAGCCTGAAGCACTCAGGCACATATGACAGGCAGATACACACTCACAGCAGTTGGCAACTGGAGGAATTAAGGGAGCTAGGAATTGGCCTAGACCTACAGAATTACAGATGAATATCCATAACTTAGAGCAGCTCATGCAAGGGTGCAGCTATCAAAACTCTGAAAATGCTTGTGAGAGATGCAACAGTTCAGACTGCCCAAGCTGAGATTACCTGCAGTTGGGATTTTTGTGTGTTAGAACTGATCAGAGCACAGACCGGGATATTGAAGTGTTGGACACAAAAGAAACCCTTTGTGCTTGAAACCATGCAGGAAAAACTCCCAAAAGATCACAAGTTTTTCACTTCCTTAAAAAGAAGGAAAGGATCTAAGCAAAACACACTCACGAACTTGTGTGTTCAAAACCATAGAAATGCGCAGAATGCATAGAAATACAGCAGAGATAGTAATTTGTTGTATCCATATAAATACAATTTTATTTGCATATCCAAATACAAGATATTTATTGAAATGAAAACTGTACGCTCACAATTTAAGTAACAAGTTCCCTTGCCATTTAAAAACCAGTCTTAATAACTGCAACTGCCAGTTTTACTCCCCAAATGTTAGAGAACTTGCAGCTTCTTTCTGCTCTTTATGCAATTGTTTTGCCCTGTTTTTCAGATCCTCTGCCTTGGCATCGTTCTTCTCAACGCCATCTCCCAGTTTGTACATGCGGCTGGCGTTGGCACAAGCCCACACGTGCCCCAGCTCACAGCCCTTCAGCGAGTACTTCAAGGCACTGCTCATGTCCTTGGGGACCCCAGGTGCTCCCTGCAGGTATATCACACTCAGGTTGAAGCAGCTGGGAGCAAAATTGCTATCACAGGCTTTTGTGTAATAGTCTCTAGCAGCAACAGGGTCAGGCTGATCACTGTTGGCTCTCCCGTCCTGGGCCAGCAGCCCAGCACTGTGACATGCATTTGCTGACTTCTTCCCATTTTTCTCACATGACTTGATGAAGGATTTGTAGGCAGCTTTCAAATCTGGGCTGAGTCCACCTGTCAGTCAAGACATTTCTGTGAGGACATGTTAAAACAGCTGGGAGCTTTCTGCTTTGCAGGATGCTTCCCACTGGAAATATGGCATCCATCACTTTAGATACTGCAGTCAACATTTAGGACTTCAGAGACACTACTGTTGTCTCAGTGACAAACATTCTGCTAATGTCTTTGACTTAGAAAACTGTCCTCCACTCACCAGTAAGCACAACAACACCGGTATCCAAAAAATAACCCTGACCCACAAAACACTCTTCCAATCACTACATCCATGGATTTAGTATCTTACACTAGGCAAATATTATTTTGCCAGTATACACCGAGATTGTAACTAGTTTTGAACTACAGTAATAATATTATTCCTTACTGGTACCTTCATTTGGAAGACCTCTGACTAATTTAAGTGCTTTCCATTACTGTGCCAACAAATACATTTTGAACAGCCTTGGGGACTACTGAGGTACGTGTATTACTAGTCTGTGAGTTTCCTTCTTTCTTACTTTCTTTCTTCTGTCTGACTAGAAGAAATGTTGTGAACTGAATATGCAGCAACACTGAGCACTGACTGTACATACCTGTTAAACAGTTGTAATTATAAAAAAATAATACATAGCTAACATAAAGCTGATTTTTCAGAAGGAAGCAATTTTAGGTTTTCCATCCTCCTCCAACTTTTATGACCATGAAAGGGGCGGGACAGGTAGCAGCTCCTTCAAGGTCAGGAGCACAGGCAGATGTGAGGGTGGCCAGGAACCGGAGCAGGTTGCCCGGGGAGGCGGCGGAGTCACCTGCGGCCCGAGCCCCAGAACCCCCCTGCGCACCTTTGCCGAGGGCCTGGTAGGCCCCCAGTTTGTAGCAGCTCTCGCTGTGCCCGTGCACCTCGCAGTTGTCGCGCAGCACCCGCGCCGCCGCCACGAAGTCTTTCCTGACGGCGTCCAGGTAATCGGCGAAGCGCTGGCAGCCTGCAAGGCACGGCACAAGGCTGAGCCTCCCGCCGGCCCCGCGACGGCGGGCGGGAGCGGCGGCAGGACCTTACCGTCCGGGTCCTTCTCCTTGAAGCACTGGTAGCTGTACTCCACGTGCAGGTTCTCCAGGTACGCCCGCACCTCCTCCTCGTCCGCAAAGTTGATGAAGCCGGCCATGGCCGCGCTGGGTCACGGCGCGATCGCCGCGGCGCCTCCGGTGAGCGCCGAGCGCTCGATTCGGCACCGCCCCTCAGAGCCGCCCCTTCCCCGTCCGCCCGCTCCGACTGCCCGTACCCGCACCCGGCCCCGCCTGCACCCGCCCCTTCCCCGCCCCACAGGGCCGCACTTTCCCCGCCCGCTGCGACCGCCCGGACCGGCTCCGTACCCGGCCCCGCCTCCGGCCGCTCGTTCTCCGCCCGCTTCTCCTGCCCGTCCCGTGGCCGCTCCTCCGGTCACTCCCCCCACGTCTGTTCCCCGGCCTCTCTTCGTGTCCCTTCCCTTACAGCTCCTCTCATTGCTTCTATGCACTCCCGGGGTCATCGGGAACTCTGAGGGTTCAGCAGTTTTAAGCGATAACACACTGTTAGAACTTTACTTTCAGAGTTTTGCGCCACCAGATGCGTATTCCCGAGGTCCGATTCAGCACAACCCAGAGACTGAGACATGACAGTACGTTAATTGCGCTCTGCATGGCCTAGGAGCAGGGCTGCTTTCCCTATTCCTCTGTCTGCCTCCTGCACACTTTTGTCTGGATTAACAGCTTGATAATTTCCAAATCCGTTTTAGAACAGAGGTGCTGCTGTGAGAGACTGCTCCCAGCCCCCACTCCTTTCTGTAGTACCACAAAAGCTCTCACAGGTACTTTTTGAGGTACTGGAACCTGCACTGAGCAGGCAGTGCTGGGGCACTGGGAACACCCAGAAACGGGTAAGCACTCAACACACAACGAACCCTGGTTCTCCTGGATGTGAGAATCCCCCTGCCATGGGCAGGGACACCTTCCACTATCCCAGGTTGCCCAAAGCCCCATCCAACCTGGCCTTGAACACTTCCAGGGATGGGCACCCACCACATTATGGATTAATTTAACCCAAATGTGATAATGGAATACTTACAGAAAACATGGCACACTATCCAATTCCAGCAGTTCTGAACACAAACTGATTTTTTTGTGAGTAAAGTAGCACATTAGAAATCTGTGTGATGAATTGCTTAAAATCAATCCGAGCTTGAGTTAAAATAAATTTCAAAGAATATTTGCAATATTTGCAAATGCTTTGTCCCAAATTATTCAAGTAGAATAATGCCAGCTTGTCGAGTTTTTGGGATAAATAAAGCTCAGTTAAATCCTGCACAGTCTCCCATAGGAAGAAGCCTTGTCCTTTACTAAAGGCTAGAGCTAATTTTGACCAACCATCATCACCAGCTGGACTGGCAGCAAACCCTGCCAGGTACATAGCTGAAACACCAGTTACACCTTCTAAAGTATTTCCTTAAAACTTTTTAGACTGTTAAAAATTTGGTTTGACGTTAAAACACATTTTCCATATGCAGCTAAAGTCTTGTTTTCAATACGTACTGACCAAAACCCTGCTATGTGTGTGAGACTGCAGGAAGAAGACACACATTGCTTGGCCAGTGCTGGCTGCAATCTGAGAATGTTTGTGTGAACCTCCATTCTGGATGGGGCCATTAGAAGGTGAACTGCTTTTGTACCAGCAATACTGTTTCTCTGGAAATCCAGCTTTGAAAACATTTCAGTTTGCACAGGCTCAGTAGAAATTCCTTGAGTTTATTAGCTTAAGTCCTTGAAGAGTCTGCTCTTGCTGGGATTTTGTCTTTGCAGCTCCTTGAGCTTGTGCCAACTCAACCATATGGCTGCTCCATACCAGAAGTGGATTCCTGAGTACAGGGAGGCAGGCTAAGAACAGGCACTGGGAGCAGGGGGTCAGGCTGTCACTGAAAGTTTTCACTGCCTGAGCCCAGTTCCTATCATAAATTCGGAAAACAAGACATCTGGTGATAGGTCAGAGTGAATCAGTTAATTTAAAAGCCATTGAAAGAACAGTCTGGAAGCTTGCAAAGACATTACGGAGTGGAAGAAACACGTAATGGACTAAGAATAATAGTATGAGCTGCTTCCTTATCTAAGCTAATATCTGTGTCCATAATTATATAAGTTGTTTCTTCTAAGCAGATTAGGTTTTTAAGTGGTTAAATTCAGAACACAAAGATTCTTAACTCTGTGCTTGTCAAATCCTGAGCATGTAATTTATTTTCTCTACATCAGCAGTCTAATGTAAAGAATTGGAACTATAACTGACCTTTGTTATGCAGTCCTTAAACTGGTAAAACTGTGTTTTATAGTATGTATAGAATCTTTTGCCATCTGGTAAAGAAAGAAACATAAATAATTTTAGCAATTGTTCCTTAATATTTATTTGTCTTGCTGGTTTGCAAACAACAGTTATCTAAAGCTTCTGCATGTAGAATCAGCAATTCTTTTACATAAAATTCTATATTCTAATTCATTTTATTCATTATTAATTCAAATAATTATTCATTATTTATTACAAATACAAGGGTATTTGTATCACTCTTTAGTTTCTCTCCTGAAACAAGAAATAACTGTATTCTCTTGACCAACAGTACATTGTACATATTGTTTGGGAGACAGGTTTTCTTCACTACTCCTGTTATCTGAAACCTGAAATTACTTTGTACGGAATGGTTTATGCTTACAGCAAAGCTCCCCCCCAAAGCAGGCGGCAGAATCTATTGTACTGGTGCACGTTATTATTCATATTACCAGAATAAACCAGTTTGTGCAGGAAACACTTGAACTGCAGAGGCTTGAGAGCACGAAGCGTGAAGCTGACGCCAGTTCATGGCTGTGGGAGGTCCCCGGAGCTGCTGCTCACCTGCTCCAGCCGGGCGCTCGCCTCAGAGCTCTCGGGTCCCGGCTCCGCTACCGGAGCAACCATGCCGAAAAGGTCCCGCACACTCGTAGCAAGAGAGGCCGATGCGCTTTGCTGGGCAATGGCCCCTTCTCCCCACACTTCGAGCCTAAAATGCGAGTGTTGAGGCTCCGCTCCCCGTGCGCGGCACGAACCTGTGCTGGCGCAGCCCCTTTAAGGGAGGCGGGATCCCGGCCGGCTGAGGCAACATTCACTTCCAGGTCGGGGGGGTAAACACGGGGGAAGGGAGGGAGGGAAAGAAAAAAAGCGAAAAGAGAAGGAGCCCAGCGACGGGACCGGCTGGCTGGGCGCTCGCCGGCGGCACCCAGCGCCGCGATGGTGAGGGGGTGGCGGTGGCGGGTAGGGACAGGGGAAAGAGGGAGGGAGGCAGGAAGGGAAGGGAGGCAGGGAGCTGTTCTCCTGCAGCCCCGGGTGCCGGACCCGGCGCAGGTAGCGGAGGTGACCCCGGGGAAGGGGCCGCCATGGCGGCGGCGCAAACCCGGCTGAGGGGCTCAGGCGGAGCCCCCTCCCCTCCCTCCCGCCGGTACCGCGGCCGGGCCGGGGCAGCCCCGCCGTTCGTTGTGTAACCGCGGCGCTGCCGCCCGTTATGTAAAAGGGCGCCCGGGACCCGGCGGACGGCAGGGAGGGAGGCTCGATCCCGGCTCGGTGTGCCCCGGTGTCCCCAGGGCGCCGGGAGGGCGATGACGGCCGGCCCAGACCCGCCGCCCTGAGCGGCCCCTCACGGCTCCGTGCGGGGCCGAGCAGCCGCCAGGGCGGAGCGGGGCAGAGCCCCTCGGCCGGCCGGAGTGAGGGCACAGCCCGGCTCTGCACAGCCCGGCCGCCCGTGCCTCCTCCGGCTCCTGCCTCCACCAGCCCCCACCAGCACCTTCCCACTGGGAATTGCTTTGTCCGGGCTCTGTCTGGAGGAAGCCGTGCCAAGGCTCGGTGCGTGGGCCTCGCAGAGCTCTCCCAGCACGGAGCTGCCAAAGGAGCAGCCTTTCCCTGCTCCAGACAGGCCGGAGCTGAACATATGGGAGCTGTTTGGATTGCTCCTCTGCTCCAGGCATGAGTGTGCAGATTTGCTTTTCAAGGACTAGCAGCAGCTTCCTGGGCAATCTAGTCTCATCACTTGTCATTAAAAGCCTAATTTCAGTCAATCCCCTAATAAAGTTATGTGTCATTATTATTGAAGTAGGTACATTTTGTGCCTGCTCAATAATCAGTGAACTAGGGTAGAATTTCATTGCTTACCTATGTACTGATGTCTAAATTTATGGCAAAACTTCCAGTTCATGGCATTTTTACATACCTTTGTTGCTGTGCTTGCAGTGTGCTTCTCTTTAATAGCTTTTTTTCCTGTCTATAGTTTATGTTTATTGTGCTGTATTTATTATGGGTAGCATTTGTATCTCTCACCTTTTGATCCTCTAGGCTAAGAAAAGCTGGGTTTATGTCCTATTCCCGATGTACTTTTCATCCCCAGAGTATTCAAGTAGCTGTTACCTTTACACTGAAATGGTGCAGATATCTCTTAACATAAATAGTCCTGTGACATCTCCCGAGTGTCTTGAAAGTGACTTAATCCATCCTTTTTTTGTTTGTTTTTTTTTTTTTTTGTGCTCCTGGCACCTTCTTTGGCTCCTTCACCCTGGTTTTTTTTTGTGGTTCAGCACACCACTCTGGTTCCACTCTCTATCATTTCTAATTTATCAACTTGTCTCTGAAGTTCTTGATATTAATCTTAAAATATGTGGTCTTACTATGTAGTTCTAATGTGTCACTATTTAATTTTAGGCCTCTTGTGATCGTTGCTGACTTTGTATCAGTAGCAGCTTTAATCTCCATGTTCCCACTTCTTGTTCCAGAATAGTTAACATTAAATTGGAGTTTTGAGCATAATCCTTCCTTGAGTCTGGCTAATAAATCACCTACTTCTGTTTAATTCCATTTAACTTAATTTAAATAGGATAATCATAAAGCTTTCTTGGTAGCATAAATCATGAAACTGTTTATTTTTCACTGCTTTCCTCTCTTAGCACTCAGAGGAATTTTAGTGGCTGTTGCTTGAGTTGCTATTTCTTAGCTGTTTTCAGAATGTTCATTTTGAGAAAGTAAGTAAAGTTTTGGGGCTGTGGAGAGGTGGAAAACATGGTACATCCAACAGCAAAACTGAGGCTCTAAATTACCTATTTTTTCCTGTTAATGTTTTGAGAGAAATGACTACCACAAGTTGAAAAGTCCTTAATCCCGTACCCATCTCATCCTTTGAGACTTCAGAGAGAGAAAAGCAGGTGGTCCTGGCTTACTGAGACTTTGCATGTTTGGGGTTTGTCGTGCTGAGTCTGCAATTTGGTGTAAAACTTGGGGAGCACATCACAGGCATGGCTCTTTTAGAGATGAAGTTGGAATTTGTCTTCCAGTGTTACATACTGATTTATTGAGGGGGAACAGGAACCAGCCAAAACAAAACACTACTGATGGAAAAAAAATTTGATTTTTAATGAGTCTGAGAGACAGAGCCTGTAGGAACTGAATCTGCCAGGCTGGAGTTGGTAGGATCAGAACCTCTGTGATGAGAAAGGCCCACACAGCCGTGGAGTTTTTTTTTTTTTTTTTTTTTTTCCTTTGTAAAGCTAGGTTGTAATGACTGACAGAAAACAGCAGTTATACCTGTTTGTTATTTTTCTTTAGGGGTTGTTATATAAGCAGGTACTTCCCTGGTGATGCTTCCCCAAATGAACAGGATTTTATTTTGATACTCACACTCAGCCATTATAAACTGGGCTTATAATGTTTGCCTTAAGGTTCTTTAGCTTATTCCCAGTGCTTTAATGTGTCCCCTTAAGTTCTTTTTGCTTTTTAACTGCACTTCTAAATATGTGTTGAGTATATTCTAGTGATGTTTAAAGCTGCTTGATGGAATTCTCAAAGGAAAAAGTGGAGGATAATGTTCTTTGGGAGAACCTTTCCAACTGGCGTGAGCTCGAAGCTGAGCTGGTAACATCAAGTGGAAGCTGGTTTTGCATTTCAGTTCACCTCTGTATTGGATTACTGTTACAGGGCAGTAACCAGGCAGTTTACCCCATCCCCCTGCACACTTTTGGTCTGCTTTGATTATATTGAGCACTTGAAAAGTTTTTTAAAAACATAATTAATTTAAATAAGGCTTCTAAAAGCCCATCTAAATGCAATTATTCTACTTTTTATGCTATTCCATAAGCTAGCCAGGTTTTAGATACGTCACATGACTCTCATAATATATGTTTTAGTTAATGAAGGCACCCCAGCTTGCATCATGTAATTCATAATTCTGTGGTTTGGGGAATTAATTTTTTTTTTCTGGTTACTCAATTAATTTGATATAATGAAAGAAACTATGAGGTTAATTGAAGTATCAGATAATTAAGATGACTATGAAAAAGTAAAATAGCATAATGGGAGTTCTCCTTAAAAACTGCTGGGTGATGTTTATTAAATAATAACAAAAAAACCTAAAGTGCTCTGCTATGGTTGACATACATTTATAGTGTCTCATTGGACACAAAGTGAAGTGATCAGAAAACAAATGGCAGATTTGTCTTCAACCTGACATTCAAAAGCAGAGCTAGAGAAATGAACCACTCAAATTCTGACCTTGTAAGAGCTTAAATACAACTTTAACTGGGCAATATTGTCTTGAAGTATAGAAGAGTGAGGGAAGGAATGCCTCCAGCTCACATGAAAGGTTTCCAGGCTGCATTTGAGTTGTTCTATTTCAGCAGCAGGCAGTTTAGGAAATGGTTTTTAGGGTGCTTGTCAGAGGACTTCATTAGATACAGATAAAAACATTTTGCCCAGGGTACCTCAGGAGCCTTTGTCAGGGGTGTTTCCTCAGCCTTCTGGCAGCAAGTTGAAGAAATATTACAAATGTCTCCTATAATGGGAATGAGTGGAGTTAATAAAAGCAGAACTGTTTTGTTTGCAAGTGTAATTGATCCCTGCTTGTGCTTTTTGTTCCTTGATTGTATGGAGATGCCCTGCGTGAACTTCCAGAGGGATTATGTAAAAATTAAACTTGCATTTCCAAAGGAAAGATTGGCCACACAGAGGTACTGGTTGAAAAAATAGTTTTCTGAGTCATATGCCAGTGGCCTATCTACAGGGCTAAAAATTCTCGTTGGAGTTTGTTCACTGATACATCAAAGTGTTTCAGCTTTTCTGGCAGACAGGAAGGAACAGTTCCAGGAGGAATGAAGAGAGACAGGATTCTGGTTTTGTCATCTTTGAGCATCAAATTAGAAACACAAGATCTAGTGGAGATGTGGATGTCTTTGCTTCTGTGGGAATGATTTTCATACACCTTTGAGTAAAGATTCTGATTTTTGTTTGATTCATCAGCTGTCATAGAAGTCTTGGGTATATATATTGATTTCAAGTTTAAAAGGAAGTTTTCCCATCTCACATAAAAAGTGTACTATTTAAAATAGTCAGGCATCATTGCACACTACAAAGAAACAAAAAGAAACATAAGACATTCACAATTCCAAATTCTGTCCTTCATTTTCTTATCCTCTTAAGATTGGAGGCAGCCAAAATTGCTGTTTCCTGGTATGGAAGCAAGTTACATCACAAAGTAATTCCTGTTTTTATAACAATACAATGTAATAATAACGTAAAAAATAATGAAACTTAAGCACTTAGCAAAACTGAGTCAAAGGAATAAAAGTTGCCTGTCAAAAGCTGCAGAAAGACCTTGCATTTGAATGATTTGGAGATTTTACTTCCCAAGCCTGTACTTAAATCTTCAGGAGCTATTAAACTGCAGTCTCTAATTGTTGTTAATACATGATTCATTAAAGATAGACTCCATTGCATCTTTGCCCTAATGTGGTACCTCCCAGTCCTCAAACATGTGTGCCTTATTTTAGAAGACTTATCTGTGTAACCTTATTTATATTTCTCCTCTATAACCTTTTACATATTTCAGTACTCCTGTGATCAGCATATTAGGCAAGCGAAGCAACAGAAGTTAAATGGGCTGAGAAAGAAAGGTGAAATTATCCAGAATTTTCTGTATAAAAGGGAAGCTACTATTTTTCCTGCAGATGAGATCTGACAACAGTTGATGCTGTTATTTTCAATATTGTCTGGGGGAGTATGTACCAGTCACTCGGCCTTCTTTTGTGTGGTGCTGGGGATGATTCACAGTGCTGAGAGTCATTCTTTATGTTGATTAATCTGTGTGCCTGAAAACAGTAGGTTATTATTAGCCATGGAATAAAAAAACCCTTTGAGATTTTCATGTATCAGTGTACAACCTGAAACTCTGAGGCAAAAGATCAAGTTTGTATTCTGCCTTGTCCTTTGTACCCAGACCTCTGCTATAGATGATTTCCAGGTGCAGAGGGCCTGGAAAGAGAAAAAGAATCACTGTAATAGATGTTAGCTTATTGCTGCATGAGACTTGGAATTAAACCAGTTCTTTTTGGGTTTCATTTTTTGATGTGAAGCTGTAGCTGCCCTTTTCAGTACCAAAAATTGCTCCTATGTATGCAATTTGTCTGCAATATCTGCATTTCTTATGTAGGTTGGTAGTAGACTTCTAATATGCATTGACTTAAATGAAAGATTAAAAGAAATATTTTAAATCCAGAAGTGTAATTTGATTTTTAAATCTTCTTTCAGTCTGTCTTGATTGATTAATTCCCAGTAGACTTCATAAATTAAAATTATTTTTCAGCAATTGCATTTCTTCTTCTGGGAACACGAGTGGTGTTCAAAGCACAGCAGACATGACTGGCTGTGGTTCTGGGGGTGACAGGGGAAGGAGGCTC